TATGATTTAGACTTTAATCTCAACATATTCAATAAAATATCAAAAGGGAAAGAATGAGTTAACTTTTGAGTTAACTTTTGAGTAGTCACACTTCGAGTACTCGATCAGTCGATTTCACAAAGATCCCTGTCTATATTATTTTGGAAAAACACAGTTTTTGCTCCCAAGCATCTAAAAGTTTCGTTAAAAGTTAAAGTAGAGTTAAAAATACAGTTAGAGCTTGAAAACACTTAGTTAAAATTGTTACCTTAATACCTATAACAGTAGCGCCCTCCCCACAAAGACGGGGTATTGCCGCCTAGTCTAACTTTACATGCTCCGTTCTCCGCGCTGCTTTATGTTACAGTGTGCGCTTGGGTGTCAAATGATAGCCCTTATAATCTAGTATTTTTTGGTACCAAAACTGTAGTTGGGAAAAAGCTAGGCGCTGAGAAAAAAGATTTTCTAAAAAAGAATTTAGACTACGCTAATGTTACAGGTACTACGGTATCAACACATTCACACATTTTTTTGTTCTCTAATCAATGCATTTTGAAGGGGAAATGAAGCTAAACATATCCAAGCTCATCGAATTTAACCACGTTGGTTAAATTGGTTAGTCGTTGGTCCGGAGCTTCTTTGACTTTTTGCAAATAAATTTAACTAACTTGTTGGCTGAAAAATTAGCAATAGAAATTATGAGTTTATGTCGTCAGGAATGTGTTAATTTGAGGTTTTAATGTCTCATAGGAAGAATCTCAACTAACACGCTTTTGGTTAAAGTTCATTTTAGCTGACAATCTTTTATGATTTGTGGACTTGGCACACAGTAACGTTGGGCTCGGTTAGTCAAAAAAAAATTAAAACTTTGAGAAACTATTGACGGGATTGGATTCAGTAGGTAAAAATACCTATCCTAGCATATCTTAAGAACTTTTTTATTAGCAATTAGTTAAGTATAAAAAATAAAGTTACTTTGATGGTTGGGAGGAGCCACCTTTATCCTGGCTTAGTCGGATCTAATGTTTTGAGTGGTTATATTGATACCTTTTACCTATTCTAAGGTAATCAAATATGCTTGATAAATTGATGACTCTTTAGCCAATTGTGGCAATTCTAGCCTAACCTCATGTACTTTAACCACCAAACGTTACCCCAAAGCTGCTTAGACTTGAAATCAAATAAAAACGGCAATATCAAACTTGGCACATGTTATAAATGCTGTAAAAGCATAGGCATATTTGAGATGAAGAAAGGGGCGTTGAGCTAGTATCACCAAAATCAAAAAATGTTTAAAAAAGGTGTAAGCTTTAACGCCGAAAATTTCTCAAGATCCACTCTGATAAGCATTTTATTTCAAAAAATGTAGACGTTGATTATTTAGCTGAATATCTTTAACTTACTTCTAATGGTTTAAAAAAGTTCAGTCAAGCAATATTTTATTTTTCGCGTGCTCTTGAATTAGCAAATCTTACATTTTTACGCCTTTCTATTTCTGTCACCCTTTCTCTTCCCTCGTGCAAAAACCACACTGTCCCTCCATAAGGCGCCTAGTTATATGTCTGCCACACTGTGCTGTATTCGAATCCTTTTCTTCCAATAATTATTCCGAAAAACCGTCCTTTTTGTTTACGAGGACTCCTTCCAGCGTCAATCTTGCTCTTTTTAACATTTTATCTACTTAAATTCGTTTTTAATTTTGTTTTCAGAGAATTTTGGGTTGAATTTGGGTTGACTGGTCTGTTCAACCAGTCAACCCAAAGCCGTTCCTCAATGGACTCGCCGGAAAGCCAGTTGTGTGCAGATGAGATGGGGAATGGAATATCGAGACGTCCTCATCTCGGTCGACGGTTACATGAATGTCCAGGTGGGGTTGTCTTTGTGTACAGTTTTTATGGCATAGCTTAAAGCTAGTTTGGAGAGGTACGTTCTGAATTTTGTTAGTTTTTATGTCGCTAGTCAGTCAGATATATGACGAGCAAGCTTGCTTAGGCCTAAGCATTCACAAATGAATTTTTTATCTTTTAGATGGCTAACGCGGAGAAATACATTGATCGAACAAACACTGGGGGTTCGGGAGCAATTTTAATAAGGTGATTAATGTGACTTTTGTCTAATTTGTTTAAATCTGGGTGCAACAGCATCCTCTACATCGAAGGCGCCGAAGACCCGGAAAGTTGATCGCCTAGTTTTCATTATTTATCATTTTGCTAACTTGTTGAGTGTGTATCTCTTCCGTATATTTATCTCCATCGTATCTCCAAAACGTGCTCGACGTGAAGAATCACCAGGAAAGGCAAAAGAAAATGAAGCTCCTCAAAAAGTATACAAGAAAACTTTGTTGAAGTAAATACAGTTTAGGAAAAGAAAGAGCCTGTTGATTTATTGCGTTCTCACACTGGATACATCACACCAGCGAAGCTGAAGTTGATGCAAGAACAAATCCAGGTAATGCATCAAATGATAACGTGACCACAGAAAAAATTTAGGATAAATCGGGTGAGCAATTTCAACGATTGAATTGGGGGTGTCTGAAGAAAAAGATCCACAGTCTCGTCAATAAAGTCAACGCAAGCAATCTTGTCGGAATTGTGCGAGAGCTTCTTTAAGAAAACATTATCCGTGGAAAGTTTGTTTTTTAGCATTTTCTCAAGTAAAAAAATTTTAAGGGTTTGCTGACCGGATCGATGATTCAAGCACAAGTTTTTTCTCCAACATTTCCACATGTATACGCTGGTTTGGTTGGAGTGATTAATTCCAACTTTCTTGTTATTGATGAATTGACGCTTAAGTATGCTGTCAACAAGTGGTATGCTGTTTTTCTTTGAATATGGATTCGATGCATATTTAGGCTCACGAGTTGCTTTCTCTTGAGATCATGCTTTTGATGCTTAAAACACCCACGGAAGATTCAGTGGAAGTGTGTATTGGTTTTCTGAAAGAATGTGGCGCGAAACTGACAGGTTTGCTTTATTGAGAAACGCTTATTGAGAAATGATTTGTTAGATTGCCCCGCGTGCCTTGGACAATGTTTACTCAAGACTTCGAAACATTCTTGCTGAAGCACAACTGGATTCACGTATTCGTTATATGATTGAAACTGCAATGGCAATTCGGAGAGATAAATTTGCGGTCAGTTTTCCATTCTATTGCCTGGCAAAGTCTATTCTTTAACGACTACCCAGCTTTAATTGAGAAACTCGATCTTATTTCGGAAGAGGACCAAATTATACATACCCTTTCCCTTGAAGATGCTACCGATCCTGAAAATATGCTTAGTGGGTGAACTAAAAAATTTAATTTTCGATCAACTTGGCTTGCAAACAAACTTTACAGTCATTTTCAAATTGGATCCCGATTTTGAGAAAAATGAAGCTGCCTTCGACGAGCTCCCTGAACAAATCATTGGTGACGCCGGTGAAAGTGAAGAGGAATCAAAGGAAGAGGCCAAGGAGGAAAATGATGACGATGAGGCAGCGGCAAACGGTAGACATTCAATTTTATCGATTTAAATTTTATGGAACTTCAGACGAATCTAATGCAATATTTAAACACTTATTTCAGCTCAACCTCAACAAATGGAAATCATTGACAACACTCAGCAAAATCGAGCGTTTTTGTCGGCTGAAACGTGAATTTGAAGTTAGTTTCAAAAGTATATGACCATTTATTTTATTTCAGGCTACTTTTGAGACGATAGCTGAGACTTATCAAACTATCCATCGCTTTGATATTACGAAACTGAGGAATATGGCTCTTTTAATCAGTCATTTGCATTTCACAGATGCCATTACTTGGGATGTAAGTCTTTATACGAATATTTACTTTTTCGTATCCAAATTTAGGTTTTGGGCGAAATCCATTTGAAGGAGAATGAAACAACTTCTTCGGGCAGGATTTACATCAAAACCATTTTCCTTGAATTGGCTCAAATGATGGGACTTCCAAAGCTGTATGAAAGGATCTTTGATCCGTAAGTTTAGAGATTTTCTAGAATTCAATAATCTTTAGTAAATTGCAAGATGTGTTTGAGGGGCTTTTTCTTGAGGACAACCCAGCCAATACTCGCTTCGCCATCAATTTCTTCACATTAATCGGTCTTCGTGGACTGACGCAAGAAAGATTTGAGAAGGCTAATAAGTGTATAAATTTTAGGGTGGAACTTCGCGAGTTTTTGGAAAAAGGCGGAAAGAGGAAGAAAGGAAAGCAGAGTTTTGTTAAGAATTCTTCAAGAATGCTTCATGATTCCTCAAGATTGAAAGGCCAATGATTGTTTTAATTTCCTTGGAAATGGAAAAGTTCTTGGAGAAGAGGAAAGCCACCGATCTCAACACAAATGATTGTTTTCCCGAAAATTGGACAGAATCCGTATCGAAAGTTCTGGGGGAATCGTTCGAAATCATTGGATAGTCTCTTTTGAGGAGCACAACAAATACGGACGATTGGAGAATCAATTCCTGTTCTCAACGACTCATCTTTCCAAAGAAAATTGTCACATTCAGTCGAGTAATTATTTTATTTTTCGCATGCACTTGAATTAGCCAATCTTACATTTTTCAGAACAAAAGGAAAACAAGAAAAGTCTAGTTTCAGATCTATTGCGCCAGTCAATCAGTCAATTATTTTCCACAAAGAGCCTGCCATTTCGAAAATGACTGAAAAAGGCATTACTGTGGGGATTAGCCAATAAAAAAGCCCTCTAATCCTGGTAGTGTGAATATTGGTAAATTCTTGAGGAAATCCTTGCGTCCTCATTCTATTTCTTCCCTCAAATCATTGTTGTTTTGTAGCAGTTTTCGTTTTAATAAGAAACCCAATTTTGCTTGGCAACAAATTTCTTGTTTGATTTTGTCTTCTCTCATCAATTCTGCTTCTTTAGTAGCTGTTTCCTTTAATTTTCACTTGTTCCTCGAGAAAATTCAATCATTTTGTAGGCACCCAATCGTCTAGCAACCGAAATGGACAAAGACATCGAAATCAGTCGATTGGCAGCAAATATGACTCAAATCGAGGCGAATTTAATGGGAAAAATCGCAAAGTTGGAGGCTGATTTGGTTGACGGAAGGGAAAGAGATCGAGAATTGGAAAGGAAAATCGCCGAGACGAAAAGGAAGAACGACGATCTCGAAGCACAATTGTACTAATTTTGTAATTTCCTTTTAGGCTCAACATAGAATATCGATAAAAATCGGACTTTTTTTAGAAGCGAGCAAAATACGGAAGTGAGAGACGGAAAAGCCAAGATTGGGGAGCTCGAAGGGAAAATTACCGCGTTGCAGAGCAAAAACTTTGATCTCGAAACCCAAATGTGAGTTTATTTGGTATCTCTTGTCGACTGAGACTTGAGAAAACAGTTTTTCCCTCCCAAAACACCCATTTCACTCAATCAAATCAATTCGCCTCTAGACAATCTGAAAGGGAAAAAAGTTGCAGGTAGATTGATCTGTTCTTAAGGAAAAGAATTGAGTATTTATCGAAAATATCTGAAGTAAGGTTTTTCGTAGAAATTCAGAGATCGTACGATGACTTTCTTGGATCTGGATGGATGGTCGTATTTGGCAAAAACCGCTTCTTGGTACAAGGTTTAGTGGATGTTGTGAACCAGGATTATCTTCATTCCAAGGTTATCGATCAAGGAATGACATTTGATGAAGCCGAGGCATATTGTGCGAGTCGAAAGAGCCATTTAGTCTCCATTCACAGTCAGGAAGAGAACGATTTTGTTTGGGAACTCGGTAAGAAATCGAAATGATTGAATTCTGGAAATTCATGATTTTCGTTGAAATTTATGTTTTATAAACCAAAAACAATCGATATTTATTTCAGCGAAAACTGTTGATTCCTTGAATTGGTTCTGGATCGGATTGAAGGTTGAATTTTTCTTATCGAAAGAAATAGATAAATAGAAAGTAATGGTTCTTTTGGCCATTTTCGGAAGGCTCTTTGTGATAAAAGATTCGTTTGACTAATGGTTTTTTGATAGAGATCATGGTTTGAATTGAAAAAAAATTTGGTTGAAATATCAACAGTGAAACTCTTTAGTAGAAATAATGGTATTAATTGGAAAACTAGAGTAATTTCAATAACAATAAAGGAAAATTGGATCGAAATATCAATGTTTAAACATAAAAATTGTTTTATTCAGAGAAATCCGAACAAAGGAAATGCTTTTGAATGGACGGATGGAAGTTCAGTGGATTACATGAATTGGAGATCGGGAGAGCCGGATTCGAGAGACCACGCTGCGGTGAGATTTTCAACGTGGAATCATCAATATTTATTCCAATTTCCTACTCATAATTAATCGCAAAATATTTTGATCAATCTTAGGAGTTTTTTTGTGTAAAGTAACGCAAAGTGTTTTATCAAAGGATTTCCATCAGAAATAAACACATTTTAGCTTTGGAGCCACAATGGGCAATGGAGGGTCTGGTCTCCTACCGATCAGCGTCCTTTTATCTGCGGAAGGAGCTCTGAATTCTGATAAATTCCTTATGTTCTTTTCTGTGGACAAAAACCAATAAATCTCATTTTATTCAAGCTTCTGAAAACACACAACTGCACATTATCTGCAAATTCTCATATAAAAAGTTTTGCTAAAAACCCAGAATTCCGCCTGAAGCTGCAAGTATTTTGCTCTCTCGTCGCTCCTGAATAGACTATTAGATAAACGTGTTGAACATCAATGGATATCAGCATGAGGAAACTGACAATTCTTCGTGAAGGTCGCTCTTCTCGTCCCTCAACTCGTCTTTGATTTTTTTGAATGAAAGCCCATTTTCAGACGAAGTTGATTCGATGAAATCATTTAGCTATGTACATATCACTACATTATACTCTTGAACGGCTTTTTCTGCAGAATGGTCGACTATTTAAGGTGCCCGTTAGTGATGTCAAACTGAAAGCGATCAAAATGGATTTCCTTCGAAATTCCCCATTCATTTGCCTCGTGATGTTCTCCGCGACGTTTGTGAAGAATTACGTGTAGCTAAGCGGATTTCTTTGTCCAAATCCAAAATCTCTTTGAGGCACGAGTAGCGAGTGAAGAGGTCCGGCGAAAGAGATGCTGTTCGAGTTTGAGTTTAACAAAGATCTCTTTTCAATTCAAGGAGTCCCTATTAGTCCAAATTCATTAGAATAACGGCATAGATCAAAAGCTACAAACTTTTACGGGTCTCCGCGCCAGCCAGCGGACAAAGCGAGCGATAGTGAGCTTTGCTCGCAGGTCAGAAGAATTAAAGGACTCACTGAAGCGGTGCTTGTCCCCGTGTCCCCAAATCCGAATGTCGATAGATGTGCTCGGAGTTGACAGGCATCACAACAGGACGACCATCCGCTTTGAATCCGAAACCCTCAATGCGATCGTCACGATGTCCGGAGCCCGATAGACGACTAGATTGAATAGATAGGCTAAAGCTTTCCAACCTTCAAACAAACCTCACATAACGATATCCAGGATTCTCGGGCAGTTGACGGCTGTACTCGATGTCAATATTCTTGAAGGTTCGCTGGCCATCCGGTGGCACTCTGCCACCGATTTCCACCAAAAATTGGATGTTGGTCAATGGGTTAAGAGAGAAGGGCCAAGAGCCAAGTCGGATTTCATTAAAAGTTCTTGAATAAATCTAATACGATTATCAAGACAGGAAACCACCCGAGATTCAAAGTAATAAAGTTGTCTGAAGCTAAGACAATATTTACAACAAAATTGGCAAGCAGGATTCGCTAGAATTCTCAAGGTTCACATACCGAAAACCATATAACAGAAAGCTAGGAGGAAGATTTAGGACTTGATGATAGGGGAGATGCTCTGCTAAAATATGTAATCAACAAATTTTGAAGAGCAGAAACAAATGAAGTTGGCAAAAAGCATAAGAGTTCCAACACTCAACTACCGAGCTGATTAGTTTCCAAAATGAGCCGAAAATCGAGCTCGAAAGAACACAGAAATGTTATCAATCCCACGGAAATTCAGCGCCAGATTGAAGAAATCAATTCGAAAGGAAATGCGTTCTCAGTCCACGCATGTTAAGACGAAATTCAATAATAAGAGGTGTTTTTTGGGTTTTTTCGATCGGGTTAATCGATCTAGATCCCTCAAATATTAATAGGTGACAAAGCAGGAATTCATCTTTATTTGCTTCCTGACACGCTTCACCCAATGAAATTCTCTCGGTTTTATCTGCTGCTGCCTTTGCTTCTCCATCTTCAGTTGGCTGATGGAGGGGTATGGGGTGAAATATTGGTTCTATCTGTAAGCGGATCTCGGCTTTGGCTTATTGCCCTGGCCCCTGACCCCCGATTCCGATGATGATTAATCCACTTACTCCCCTCACTTCTCGCTATAGCTAAAAACTGAGAAGAGAACGTAGTAACAGACACAGAGTCATTATCGAAGGATACTAAATGTTAGTTTCCTTATGAAACGGAGAATATTTTTTGAGGGAACATTTTAACTCACACAGCAAATTTCGAAACGACCCTCCCTTCTATCCTTCCTATTTCCGCAGCCCAATTGCAGAATCTCTTCAAACATACTTCTTCTGAGCATGTCCCCACCTCTCGAAACCTTATCTCTTCTCGGAACCTCTCCCTCTTCCTCATCGCAATCAACCTCTTCCCCTCCTTAAATTCACATTCACAATTATTTCTGACGCACCATTTAATATTTTAAGAGTCATATCGTTCACCAAGCCAACATCTGTCACATTCGTAACAATGGCATTTCTACGGACTCTTCTACTGGTTTGGATCAAATGAATCCTGTAACTAAAACCGAATTCCAGACTCTCTGTCTACTGACCTTCTGCCATCTCGTTGAGGGATTATGGTAAACCCAGAATTGTATAAATTGGGATGACAATAAGAGATTTTTCCGTGGCGGTGGCCGAATCAGTGTGCCGCGAGCTAGGGTGTATCGTCCGGCCCTAGTTCCAAGACTCGAAAGAAAACTCAGGTGTTCTTTTGTTCTAAATGTAAAGAAAAAGAGGTTAGTACTAAGGTATTTTAGTACTAACCTTCCTTTGTAGGGAAAAGTGTTATTTTTTCTGACCCAACTCCCATTTTTGAGCCCGGATTCGGATTCTACGTGGAATTTTAGCCTAGAAAAAGTGTTTTGTATTATGATTTTTTGATTCTGTGTTTTTACTTACCCTCTGAGTCGAAAATCCTTGAATGGGGGTTGGGTAAGAAAGTTTTTTGAAGAAAGTCACCTCGACTTCAAAAAAGCGCCTTCTGGCACATGGAGACTTGTTCGGATGGTTTAATTACCCAAGTTTCCAGGAGCTTCGCGTTTACGTACACACAGAATTTCCAGTACACGTCAAGGTACACACAGAATTTCCAAAAAAATTGAGTTTTTTTCGATAAAACGCAGATACACCCATGCACAAAAAAATGTCACATCGTTTTTACAAAACTTTACGCCTAAATTTGAACTACTAAACGTGTTCCAAATTCTATGCTGTCAAAAGGTTATAGATAGCAAAAAGCTTCTACTTTCTTGTGAAAAAGTGTTCAAGTTCCAGCAATTTGTTTAAATTTTTATTTTTCAATAAATACCGGAAGAACACCAAAAACGGGTGCACAAAGGTGCGTTGAGAGCTGTGATTTTACCATTCTAAAATTAAAAAAATTAGCATAAAAGAATGCCATCAAAAAAAAGTAAAACGGAAAAAAAGCAGGTTCAAGTGAAATGTGACATTTTTTTTGTGCACCCGTTTTTGGTGTTCTTCCGGTATTTATTGAAAAATAAAAATTTAAACAAATTGCTGGAACTTGAACACTTTTTCACAAGAAAGTAGAAGCTTTTTGCTATCTATAACCTTTTGACAGCATAGAATTTGGAACACGTTTAGTAGGTCAAATTTAGGCGTAAAGTTTTGTAAAAACGATGTGACATTTTTTTTGTGCATGGGTGTATTTTCTTTATTTTCCATTATTTTTTTCAATCTTTTTTTTTCCAATCTTTTTTGGAATCTTATAAGTTTGAGTTCTGGACAGTACCTTTTGACACCAAAACCATGAAAATCGGCGATTGTCCCGATTCGGGGACACCCTGAGTTGTCATCTTGGGGGGAGGTCTTATGCGCTATTTCAAACTTGCTCTCTATTTATCTGAAATTTAATTAAAAACGCATTTTGACTCTTTTACTAGAATCACAACTCTTCAAATGAATTTTTATAATGAAATAGTCCACCAAATTTGTTTTAGTTTTCTGTAAATAGCTTTTATTAAGTTTGGGCTTCTGATCTATCAATAATTTAGATTAGAGTTTTGTCAAAGATAATCCTTTTTTATAAGTTTCTTCGACATCTTCCTGTAAAAGTCATTAAAACAAAGCGAACGGTTCCAGAAATATTGAAAAGCTTTTCTTGACAACTTTTAATAGAGAAAAGCAGTCAAATGACAGATCTGCCAGTGAGATGTTGATTAGCGCTAGCGCTCGACGAAAAACGAGCAAATGTTCATCGCTTGTACGATTTGCTTGCCATTTCTGATTCTTGTGAATCATTTCTGATTCTTGTGACTCACAAGAATGAGAGTCATCGCATATTTTGCTATGGTAAGTGGAAACAGCAATTTCATCAATCGGAACTCTTTTCAGACGTCAGCAATTTTCTTTGCCGTTGGCATCGTGATGATCTTGCAGTATACCGTTCGACAACCGAGTCAATTCGACCAACTGCCGGCAAGTAGCGACTTTACCGGAATGATTGGAATATTGGCCATACTACTAGGGACTTGCAAAAGAAACTGCGTATTATACGCAACGTTCAAACACCTCGAAAATCAATAAGAAAACAACTTTATTCCAAAAGATATTTGTCATTATTATCAACTATGTTCTTACATTTTTTGCGTAGACTTCGGATGTCTGATTCGAAAAATTCGGGGTCCCGCGACGCAAAGTAGTCTTGCACCCAAATTTCGACTTCTTCAAGATTGTTAAACTTTAGATTTGCAAGAGAGTGGTGCATAGACAGGAACAAGTGGTAACATCTAAGGGAGCAACATCAGGCGAATATGGCGGATGAGGCACAAGTTTCCAGCCTAATTCTTCTATGGTGTTTTGAGCCAAGTTTGATGTGTGTACCCGGGCATTGTCAGCGAGCAAATGGATTGTCCTTGGATTAACACCTCTTTCTCGTAGAATTTCATCAACTTTCTTCAGCTGTTCGGCGTAGATTTGAGAAGTTATAGTTTTTGAAGATTTTTGTAGTTCAAAATAAACGATTCCTTTCATATTCCAAAAGACTGACAGCATAACTTTCTTTCCGTAAAGTTCTGGATGTGATGTCGGAATCGGCCTTTCTTCTTTGCTCAACCATTGTCTTTTGCGTGTTGAATTATTGAAATATATCCACTTTTCGTCCATCGTCAACATGCTTTCAATAAAAGCACTGCCCGTAGCCTTTTTCAATAAAATCCGAGACAATAAAACTCGATTGACCTTCAGGCGGAATTCAGGGTTTTTGGGA